ATATATATATATATATATATATATATATATATATATAGGGATGGTGAGGATGATAATTATCTTAATAATTATCTTAATAATAATTAACGGCTACCTTGACATATTACAAATAGTATTATTTACTACCATTTAATGCTAATGATTTTTTGCTACGTTTTACCGATAAAAAACGACAGGAATAATTTGACTACATATCGTTTCGAATATTTGCCTTGTGAAACGATGCGCTGACCTACACTGTCCGCGTATTTAATGGCGATCAACAGCTCCATTTTGTTCTAAGTTACACTACGAGACTTGTACGATATAAGTAACTTGATTAAGCCTTAGAAACACGTTATTGGTACTGGTAAATATAAAAAAAAAAAGTCGTGAAAAGGACTTTCGCTGTTAAAAGTAAATCCGCATCTTTCTTTTCTATAATATTTTCTTCATTATGTTAAATATACACGTACCCATAGTTTAGATTTTTACGTTCGTTTCGTTTCGAAGCATTGAAGAAAAGCGAGTCGAATTGAGATTGAACGATCGAATCGAAAATTGTGATCGGACCGAAATGATTTTGAAAGTTCAACAAACTGCCACGCACGGCCAATAAGCTTCTAAATTACAATAATTAAACGCTATGTATTATTCAATGAATTTTTTATATCTCATCATCAGCTCATAATGAAACAACAGAATCGTGTTATGAGAAATGAAATTAATCATCTTTCGACTCGTTTGCTCGATACATAATAATTACGATCGCGTAAAGAATGAAAAAGAACGGAACAGGAGAGGGGGAAAAAGAAACGAAACGTTTGTCAGAAAAGAATGATTCGATACATAATATTCGTAAACGATTAGTTTAGACCGAGGCGGAAGTGCTAGAATCTAAAATCGTCTTACACTTCGCACAAGACTGAGGAGCTTGTATATAATTATACATTTAATGCATTTGATATAAAATGAAAAAAAAAAAGAAAGGTACGAGGCGTTCACCTTTGGAAGGTTCAGTTTATTACCATGACATTAATACTTCTAACAGCATAAAAAAAAAGATTGTAAGTTGTACATACAAAAATAAGGTCCTACTATCGCGAATATACATATATGATTACTACCGTTGTCACGGCGTTTCCGGTTTGCATGTGTACCATTTTTCCATGTTTTTCTAAAGAAAAAAAATAATAATAATGCAAGAAAAGAAAAACGTCGCGACCGTGAAACCGAAAAAAAAGAGATTTCCTATTTTTCAGCAAAAAAAAAAGTCCATCGAAAACAAAAAAACTGCGCGTCGAGTGCAAGACAAACATGCCCGATCCAGTGGACCAAAATGAATTACACCGCCTGAAATTCACACCATTTTCATATCTCTGCCCATTTAGCGTTCTATAGACAGATTTAAAATAGGTCCGATCAAAGGCAGAGACAACTAAAATCTCGTGGCTATAATTATTCACAATCAGGCATTATATCAATCACTTGCTAATCGCGTAATTGCCTATCAGCAGCAGCGACAAAAAATGGATAAAATCGAAAAAATAAAAAAAAAAAAGAAGAAGAAGCGTATATATCATTGCGTTGTATATCTGATTGGAATCAGTTAAAAACGTGTTCTTTTTTTTCATGATAATAATTATCATTCGATATTAATAGTTGCTTAAAAAATATCATCTCATAAGAAAATGAATGAACGCTGTCCTGTCGATGCGGAAAAAATGCTATCGCGATATATACTTTATTATCTATCGGAAAATAAAATATATCGATGATGGATTTTTAAGTGACCGTGATTTCCTTTAAACGGTAGTAAACGAATTAATGCGAATAAGAAATACCGCAAGAGATCCGCTTATGAGTTACATTTACATTTACAATCCAAATATCCAGTAAAGTTAAATAGAATTAAGATGAATGTCACAAATAATGTAAACTCTGAGAATAATGAGATGAAATAAACAAGACGATGATTCAAATATAACAGAGCGTATATTTTTTCGCATATCTTGAATACACTAATAAGAAATTACTCTTGTTATCTAAATATATCGCAGATTGAGAAAATAATGACTGATTGATTCAAACGCAAAAGATTGTAAATTCTTCCTTCTTTTCTTAATTGAAAAGAGATTAGAAATTGTTGTATATAGCGACAATGAAATTAAAGACATTAGAATATGTATAAAATGGAAGCACTTATTTCTTCATATGTGTATATTTATCGACATACACCCACCGTTTTATCTTTTGTGAGATAAAAATAATGGATAAAAACGGCCTCCTTAATTTTTATACGATTTATAATAGAGAGCTGAAATTTCCCATAAAATATACTATTTTAATACTTTTCATGGGAGATATCACTATATGCAACTTAAGGTAAGCTTCTCAGGACTTATATATTCCGGAAAGCACACCATTAATCACTATATCTGGAAGACTATTCGACATAGAACCAGACTCAACGTATGGATCATAATGGAAAGTTAACACAGGTTGATGACTAAAAGCACTGGTGTCAACGTATTGCGAATCTTCCGTATCCTTATATTGAAACGTACTGAAATAGAATATTTTTATGTTAAGATGATACGAAAAAATAGCATGCAAAAAATATTTAAACTTATAAAAAAAAGTAATGTTATTTTAATATATTAATTTTAATAATTATAAATCATTATAAAAATTAAAATTTATCTTTTTTCATAAGCTATTTAAAATTTATATATTCAATTTTAATATTTTGATTATAATCATAATTATAGATTTATTATTTATATTAAAAAAAAGAATAATAAATATCTACATACTTTTTATATGACACACCTGATGTTCGATCTTCTATGCCTAGAAAATTGAGAACCTGTTGCTTCGTAGTTGAAAGCCTTAACATTTTTTGAATGTACAATTCCAATGCGGCTCGCCTTTGCTCGAGCACTTTTGGCTGGCAATTTCTTACCTTTTTTGGCGGAAACGGAGCAACTTCCGCATTTTCTTTCTTCAACTGTAATGAATAAAATGAATGTTAATAATAATAATAATAATAATTTTGATGAAATGCCATTAATTAATGCATTAAAACAATAAATCATCAAAATAGAAAGAAAAAAATAAAATTTAAAATGCATAATATTTTATTAATATACCATATCCCCAATTTTTTTAAATTTTAAAAAATTTTTTTACGTAATTTTTTAAATAATTTTTAATTATTTTATTTAAAAAAATATTAGAAAAAACTTTCGTAGTATATATATGCACATGTATATTAAATCCATGTACATATATACTATTAATTTTTAAGCACTTATATATATATATATATATATATATGTCTATATATGTACATATTATATTTATATATTTATATATATTACAATTTTATCCTATAAATAACAAAAATAAATCAAATAATAATATTGTTGCAATCGAATAATTTATTAATATTAAAAATAAATAAAAATATTTATGCATAGTATATAATTTTATATTAAAAAAAAAATTTGTTTTTTTTTAAGTGAATAAATTAAAATTTATATATTATATTATTTAAAATGATATATTCTTAGATTTAAAATTTTTATCTTTTATCTACAACAAATAAACAATTTCTATCCTATCTAACATAGAGAAGAAACTTTGAATGAATCTAGTAAATTTCTTATATAAAAATTTCATAAATTTCAAAATTTTATTAATAATTTTATTAATAAAAATGAATTTAATATAACAGTAAATGTTTTATATATATATATATATATATGTATATATATTTATAACTTACAATCTGGAACATTACTTCAAATTAATATGTTGTATACACACTTATTAGATACTTTTACTACTTATTTCGCTCGCGATTTTTAAGCAATCCAATTGCTCTCTAAAAGAAATCGGAAATGCTAATTGGATATAGTTATGTAGTATTGTGAAATGTAGTATTTTATAGTGAGTCAATACAAAGAACTTCCAACTACATAAATCATATATCGCTCAAACACTAATGAAACAACGCGTTATTAATATGATTAATCATATGTTATTGAAAAAATATACTGTATGACAAAATAAATTTATCTTAATTTTATTCTTTTTAATTAATTATACATGCAATATTAAAAAATTTGATTAAGCGAAATTAAAATGATTAATTGAAATAAATTTCGAGATACTACTATGTGTAAATTTAGTTACAACAAAAACGATTTCAATACGATTTAATTTGTATAAATATAATTTGTGATATAAATAGATATTATATATATTATATAATATATAACAATCTATATTTATATATAATCTATATATTTGCATATACTATTTAATATTTTGTAATATACATATCTTCATGAATATTGATTTAGGCTACTTATACAAATAAAATTGAATGGAAAAAGAAAATATAAAAGAAACATTATCTTTGTTTACACAAAGTAAAAAAGATATTAAACAAAAATATAGATATATCTTATTTTTTTCTTTCTCTATAACATGAATTTATACATATAAATTATATCTCTCAGAGGTACAATTTAACTATATTTCTATAGTAGTATCTTATATAAAATAACTATCAATATATATCTGAAAATATCTGAAAATATATTATTATTTCAATATTATATTTAAAAAATAGAATTAAAATTAAAAATAAAAATTAATTGTTAATCTTAAAATAAGATTTTATATAATCTTAGATATATGTTTGATATTTTTTTATATAACAAAAATTATATTAATACAAGTATTAAAATTGCAATAAAAATAAAATATGTACCGTGCGATGTAATGCGTTAAATTCGCTGTATCTTCTCTCGATAAAATATCGAATACCACTTTCTGATTCCAAAACCTCAATACAGTAAACATAATAGGGCTTGCCGTGTGACACTTCGGCCAAACGGTATCCGCTAATGAAAACTTGATACATTGCATCGCTGGCAATTTTCTAGAATCTTAAAACACTTACAAAAAATGAATAATACGGTAATAATATGGTAATAAAGTTAAAAAAAAAACACGAAAAACGTAATACTATATTCTATCATCAAACACCTGTCAATTCAATATATTGTCGCATGTCGCATACGAATATATTGAAAAATGCACTACCACAAACAAAACGTGCATAATATAATACCAACTTTTCAAATATATCTTACACTATGACAATTTTATTTAGATACAAATAATAAAATCAAAATTTGTTTTAAAAAACCAATATTTCATTTAATTTAATTTATTAAAATCAATCAAAAAAAGAATAAATTTATTTAATTTCATTAATAATATGAAACAATAATAACAATTATCTTAACCTTTATTTTAATGTCTTAATGTCTATCTCTTCTATTAAGTTTCTTATCTTTGTTCCTCATAATCATTGAAATAAAAGTAATGCTTTTGTTTGTAAAATGTTCGCGGTATAATTGTAATAAAAGTTAGAATTAAAAATATATGAAAATGACATTTCTTACAAAGTTGTCAACATGGAAAGGATTAATACAAAGATCGCTTTTACCAATAAATCAAACAATAGTAATATCAAATTTCGATATCCATACGTCAAAATGTAAGTATAGCTATATTTAAATATAACTTACTACATGTGATAGAAATAACTTCAATATAAATTTCAATTGTTTAAATTGTTTAAAAACAAATTAGTTTAACATTTTATAACAAATTATTTATAATGAACAATTTTTAGATTCCTTTCTTGGTGAATATGAAATGGAAGATCCAAAATCAGAAGCTGATATGTAGGTAAAATTACATATATGAGTATTACATCATTATAGATAAATATCATAATTCTATACTATATTAAAAAGTATTAAAATATAAAATCTATTGTATCTTAATTAATATAATTTATTAAATGTTATAGTGTAAATGTTACTTTTATTGATAAAATGGGAAAAAGAATACCCGTAAAAGGAAAAGTGGGAGATAATATATTATATTTAGCCCATAGATACGGAATTGAAATGGAAGGTGCTTGTGAAGCATCTCTTGCTTGTACCACTTGTCATGTATATGTACATCAAGATTATACAGATAAACTCCCAATGGCTGAAGAAAAAGAAGAAGATTTATTAGATTTAGCTCCTTTTTTAAAAGAAAATTCAAGATTAGGTATATAAAAATAATTATAATATATGTTTAATATTTAATATTAATTTAATTCAAAATATTAATAAACAAAATATATTTAGGTTGTCAAATTATATTAACAAAAGAATTAGATGGCATAGAATTGGAACTACCTCAAGCAACAAGAAATTTCTATGTAGATGGTCATACACCAGCTCCACATTAATATAGATTAATATAGATTTTACTTGTATGTTATATTTGAATTAATATGTATATATTCTATCCAGATATATAATTAATATAATTATAAACTTTTACTTTATTATGTATAAAATTTAAGTGTAATATAAATTAAATATTATATTTTCTTATTTTTTTAATGAATGATAAAAAAACATTATATTTTCAGAATGTACTTTAATGTATTTCATAAACTTTTAGAACAACAAACTTGATTTATATGACATTTGTCATGGTACAATATATTTATTTCTTATACATTTGGATTATGATACATATCTTTAATTACAATGATACAAGATTTAAACATTTATGATATAATGAATCCATGAATTAAAATTGTATTTGTTAATCTTGCAGCATTTACATCAGTGAAAATACTCTATAAGTTTTTTTGCAAACTGATCGCGTTTGAGCACTGCCACTAATGTGTTTTCACGTTTTTCACTTCTGGCAGGCACCTTTATGCATTTTCCCAGTTTGACAACTTTCACAATAACTTTATGTATACATATTCTCTATGTGCATACGTTCTCACGTTCATTACCTATATTTATATGCGTACGCAATTTGCACTTTTTTTTATGCATCCACACATGTCTCTGTGTCGATAATTATCATCATCAACATTGTTATATAATTATCATACAAACTATATTTATTTATATTTTCTGTTCATTATTGATCACTATAATTATAGACACGTTGTAATATCTCGGATCAATCGCAACTTACAGTCATACTTTATAATTAAAAGAATTTAAATAGAAATACATTCGCTCAATCACACAATATTATACAAAACTACATTGTCAAAATGATTACATATGTATCTCTCATTTGGTATGAGTCATCACAACGGACTTATTGAAAAAATAATTTTTTGTACTTATTTATAATTAAAAATAGATCGTGATATTTAATTAAATATAGAAAGAAACTGTTTACATTATATATATTAATGGAATACTTTGACTCAATAAAAATAAAAAATTTGTTCAATATTAAAATTAAACTATCAATTTTTTATGGCAGTAAATAATTTAATATTTACATAATTTAAACTTTAAATAAAATTCTGTCGTGAATTCTGTAAATTTATAATGCTAAGTATTTTTCTATAATTTTTTATATGAAAAATTCTGATCAATAATAATCAATTTATAATATAACATAAAAAGTCTAATTATATCATTTCTTCTATCATATATCTCACTGAGCTTATTAAATAAATATAAATATAATCTTTTTATTAACAAAATAAAATCATTATTTGGTTGGAAGCATTTTGATTATGAAATGTATTTTCTTATTTTTTTTTTTCTATTAAAAGAATTATTATATTTATATACTTGTAATTATTTAAATTAATAATTATAAGATATTAAATATATCTTATTTTACACAATAGAAGTAATATTATATTTATTAATAAAAATTATTAAAAATTATTTATATATATATTGTAAATTATGATAATTATATTTAAATTTAAAAAAAATATAAAGCTCAGAGAGATAAAATATTTTAATATCATTAAGTATTTTTATGAAATAATCAACTCATAGCAGATAAAATTTGTTATGCTAATGCAGTTTGAAGCATTTAACTATGTCACATAAAATCAGTAAAGAATTATGAAAAAAAATTAAAATCATTGTAAATTAAAGAAAAAAAAAATATAATTAAAATTAAATATATAATACATTATATATGAAATAATATTAATCAATTACAAAATTATACAGATAAACAAGATCTATAGATACATTTAAAATTTTCAGTTCAAGACAATTTTGATACAAAGTATTTTAATTTAAAAATGAATTAAAAATACATTATTATTATTGGACTAGAAACATAAGGCATAATGAAAATTATTCATAATAATAATTAATTTTTCATTTTATATATATTTAAAAAATATTTTTGCAATAACTGCTTTTTTTTAATAACTATAAATATCTATAAAAGTTGTTAATAAATTATTTTTATTAATTTTTCCAAAGTTGCACTTTTCTTATTTATTAAAAATTTGATTTCAAAAATAATTTAAAAAGATTCTATGACATTCATAACATGATCGTTGATTTTATGTAACTACTATGTCATTTTTAATTTTTTAAATTATTATTAGTTTTCTTGCATTAATATCTATGATCATGTAGAATGAGCAAGAAAACAACTATATTTTTGTATTATGCTTAATTCACAGTATTTTAATAAATTCAAATAATTTTCTTTCAATAAAATTAAAATTTGAACATATAATTCAAATTCTTAAATTGAATAAAATCACATATTATAATTCATATTATGATTGAATACTTATAAAAAATGTATAATCATCAATAAACAGAATTGTTGCTAAAAATTAACTGCATTTCTTTCAAAAATATCTTAATTTTCTATATATTTCAAAAAATCCATATCATTCAATAATTGTAAAATACATAGAATGAAATGAAATACCTCTTGGGTACTAATATAGTTATAAAAAATAACTAAAAATTATACAATAAATCAGAACTTTTTCAAGAATGCCAAATATGTATGTTAGAAAACTATAATATATTATAAAATAGAAAATTTTAAATCTGTAAACAATCCATTTCATGCAAACATTGCATAAAATTATCTTTTAATATAAATTATCTTTTTAATATATACATAATATGATAAAATTTTAAACTGAAAGTATATTCCAATACATAAGCCTCAAACTGACAATACATGTACTTAAAGTTTTATAAGCTTATCTTCAGTATGTATGAAGTAACAATAAGATCAATAGTACTAAAAGTATCATGCTAGTAAATAGTAAATACTGATATTATTTAGCATTTAACATTGTGCCAACATAGTAGCATAAAAAATTCCATTTAACAGATAACTTGACTATAGAGTTTATATAAATATTAATATTTTGTAGATACAAAGAGCACAATACGAAAAGACTTTAAAAACGAAATTGCATGTCAGTGAACAAAATTATTTACCACTAGATATTCAGAATCATTCTTAAATGACTATAAATATTTTTGATAAAACATGATACAATTTAATCATTAATTTTCATACATATTTGTGAAAGTGCAACTAACTTTTATTAACCAGTTTGTGCTAATTACTGAAGCAGATTAAAAATCTGTGTATTTTTTTTTATTAAATATTTAAAATTTAAAATATAAACATACACACACATTTTGCACATCTTGTTAACTAAGTTGAATTTAATTCAAACTATTTCTTGTAGAAAAATTATATAAAATACTACAACATAGACATCATCAACACTGGGTTCAAATATACAAATAATATACAAGATCTTACTTAAAAATAAAAAAAAAAAACAGAAAATAATTCAAATAATATTATATAATAATAATAATATTATAATAATAAAACTTCAATATTTTCAATTTTTTGATGAAATTTGAAGTATAAAAAAATTAATAAATAATATTTTTAATTTATTTATAATAGAATAAAAACTTTTAATTTATTTCTCTATAATTCTCTTTCTTGACAATTACGGTAAAATTTAATCTTATAATATAGCAAACATTTTCCTTGTCATTTTCATACAAGACAAAAACTAGCTTTCAAACTGGGAATAACAAATTACATCTCTTTTCTTGACTGAATTCTCACAGTGTGCACCATGTATCACAAATAGTTGGTCAGTCCAGATAATATTATTGGACCAATCATTCAGAGTAAATACTAAACGACGTCCATTCCAAATTGTTTAATGTACAGATGTGTCTAAATAATGCATTTGCTAATAAAATATACAAAATGTATGGAATATACATGGTTTCAGAGCTAAATGCGACAATTTGTGCTCATATCTTTTTTGGTTTGTTTGAAATAAATTATTTCAAAGATGACGCTGATGGATAAGTGCATGTACTGGAAGCTGTCTACCCCTTTGATACCTCTGACAACGACCCATACTCAGATCATGACATTCATACACATTAGCCACAGTACGTGATGAAGAAAAATTGGTTGATTCAGTAGTTGGTTGAACCGAGTATGGAGCAGAGATATCAAAGGGTTCCTCCAGTTATTCCATCGGATGGTGACGTCCTCCACACATGCCACAGGACGTGCCACACCAATGAACAGCTCTTAGTGGAGGATAAATCCATAAGCAAGGAACGATCAGTGATAATAATGCCAAACCAAACCATCTGCGTCCACATCCTTCTTCTGTACTACAACTGTATAATTTAATATTGATTTATAATGTATTCTTAATTTTGTATTATGAAATCATCCCAAAAAAATGATTTAATGATCAAATAACTGCTGAATACATTATAGATTTTAAATATGTATATTTTGAAACTTTCTTGTTTTAGAATTTAGATAATCTTAAAAAAGCTAAACAAAAATAATTGAAATAAATATTTCAATAGATTTTACTCACCTGCAAGGATTTTGGGCAAAATCACCTTCAGCATCACTCATACAGTGATATAACATACCCTGAGCACAAGACAGACACGAAATTTTTGCGATTCCTCGTCTAATAGGATCAGGTGCATATTCACAAGATCCTCTAGGATTGTGCTGCTCTGTATATAATTCTTGGCAATGTTTACATCGTAATCGAACATTACGTTTCATAGTATTTTTAGAAGGTTGAGATACTATAATATCTGGTTTTTTCAAAGAACTGCTGGTATTATGTCTATTTAATCGATCTCCTTTATGATCACCGATGATAGGATATAAATATTCATGATTAAGTGTTGTGAGCTGCACATAAGAGTAGCTATCTGATCCAACATCTTCAGTTGGTGCCAAAGGATGCTGAGATGGTGGCACTTTTATAGATGGCCCACCAATATAATGAATAGGTTTATGTGAATCAGGAAGATCTGAACACTGGGATTGATAATTGGGCACTCGTATTCCATGAGGAGTATCTGATGATGGACGTGATTCTGGTGGTTCCACAGGTAAATTTAAAGTCTATAAAATAAATTATATTAATATATTAATAAATGAATTCAATATTACTATTTTTTATTTTTATTTGATACATACCATAAAAACATCCTCATCACCAGCATCTAATGAATTGTCATATGTTGAATTGGTCAATCCTGAATTATAAAAAATATAAAGAAAAAGAAAATATTTTTATATACTTATATAAAATTAAAATATTAAATTTTAATAATATTCAAAATACAATTAACATTCTTACCATTTACATATTCCACAAAAAGTAGCAATAAAATAACAAATAATGAAATATAAAATAATATTAATACAAAATTCTATCATTATCATCTTTATTAAATTTATTAAAATAAATATTATATTTAAATTAACAATTTACCTTCTAGTAATTCTTCAACAGCTGTACGAACACCTTTATCGAAAGCTCTTGCATCTGCAGCTGTTTGAAATGTTAGTCCAAATCTTTTCTCTCCTGTCCTCCAGTGATGAAAAGTTGGCATTACCTTATTATATTCAAAATCTTTTTTAATTGTACAACTAAGAACAACCTACAAAAGAAAAATAATATATTATATTTACAACAAATATATAAATTATAATGTATTAAATATATATAATATTATAATATATAGTTAATGATAGATATGTTTATTACTGATTGATCAGTGATGCGTTTTCCATAAATAAGGTATTCATGTCTTTTTTTTGCACCAGGTGGAGAACTATTAGAAGATCCATGACTTTGGACATTAGTGATACTTGTAGTTGATACAGATTGTGTAGTGTTGGTAGTAGAGGCAGTCGTAGTAGAAATACCAGATCCATTAGTATTATTAGACTGATGTCCACCTGAAGAAGTTGGTCTTCGTCTAACCGAAACATTTGCTAAACCACCGCCACTTAGAGGAACCCAACCACCTGAACTATCATCCCTTGTCATTACCTGGGCACGAACCCTCACCAAATAGTTACCACTAAAAATGAAATGCCAAAAAAAAAGTTAATATTACAAGTTCATTACAAAATTGATTTATTATTATGCTTTTAACACAAATATATTTATTAAGAATATATTAAGAATAATTTAAAAAAATAAGATTCACATATATGTTATTATTTAATGGAAAATAAAAACATTTATTATGAACAGATTTACTAATATATTTTAATTTTAACTATAATTCTATGATAATATTATAGAATTATAAAAATATATTTTTATCAAACGATTTATCTTTTTATCAAAAGATTTATAAGAAATTAAATTTTATTTATTACAAACTCTTACTTAATAAAAAAGTTTGAAACCAATATAAGATCGAAATTACTTTAAAGATATTTTAAAAACGCGCAAGACCGACATATACGCGAAAGCGAAGAATCGCTGTTATATACAAGATAGCAGATGTTACGCGCTGACATCGATTTAATGAATGAACGGTCACCCCTACACGAATATAGGATAACACACCAACACTTTGACCGAAATCATACGTTTACTTGTGTAAATTTTTAGATATCCAATGAATATGACACATTTTCAAGAAGAAAGAATTGTTTCAAATATAAAAAATTTGAAGAACTTAAAGCAAACTAATAAATATGCAAAATGTTGACAGGAGAATGAGTAAGATGAGGTCAGACAGAACTGTCAAGTGCCGCATTGCAAACGTGATATCAAAGAATACAAAATTTAAGCCATAGTCATGAACATAGTCAGGTTTCGAAAGAAATATCAAAAAGTACGACAGACATTGTAATATTACTTACTCCTCCGACGCCTCTGTCATGATTCGAGCTGTCGAAGCTTTTACTCAATGCCCACTTTTTCCCACACTTCACCATTTTCGTTGCATTGAAAAGACATTCGGCCGCGATTCTGTTTATGGAGCTTTTTTAGGCTAGTGCCAACCACAGGAAGCGCCCCAGTCCTCCTCCCTCTCGCATTCCCCGTAGAGTTCATCCCCACGCCCGACTTGAACTCGCAGTCCACGCCTGCTCCCTTTAGATTTTACCGACCGTCGCTTTCGTTTCGAAAACATCTCTTCTTTTGCATATTCTTTAGCATACCTTCATTAATAAAAATACTAATCATATTGTCCAAGTATTATCATATCGCACAATCTTTTTGGTTATAATTCTTAGTCTAAATACAAAAAAGAATATTTGGCAAAACTCACGCATCGACGTTCACCCCGTGAAACTGACTGACTATATGGTAGCTATCGACGCTTTTACAATGAAAGCTACCGGTCTGCGCAACAGGATTCATTCATCGATGCTGCTCATACAGTCTTGTTAATAATTAAGCGCGCTAACTCTCTATGGCGGACAATGTACGTTTAAGTTACTCACAATTCTGTGAGATTGCTTTATAAAATACATTGCAATTCTTATTCTTTTTTCTTCTGTATAATTTGTGATATTTTTAAGATTTTAAATATATTTTAATATCTTATTATTTTTATATTTAAATTTACATAAAAATCATTTTGCATGAAAATTGTGTAACTTTTTAATAAATACTTCTTATATAATTTTTATACATTTTTCTCATTTTATTAAATTAAATTTTATTATATTATATATTAATAAATAATATTAATACACAATATATATTATATATATATAATATTAATACATAATATTAATATACAAATTTTAATTTTACATTATATTCATTAATTAATATACAATTAATTAAAGAATATACATTAAATATAAAGTTTTTTGTTTTATAAAATATAGAATTAACTTTATTACTTTATTATCGACTTGTATATTTCAATACGTCCCTGAACTTGAAACGTTGGTTTTCTAGTACATTTATCTAGCCGATATGTAATTCATAATTATGGATCGATAATAATATAAATTTATACTAAATATTATATCACATCATGTTTAATTTGTTTCTTATACATAAAATTTAATAATATATATTCAGAAATATTAAAAATATATATATATATATTTAATATATATATTTTATATATAATATATATATTTTTCATAAAAAAATTCAAAGAAAAAATCAATTATATCAAGAAAACTAATAATTGATAGTATTAAATGCTATAATACAATCCAATTAAAAAATAAAAGAAAATTAAACAAGTAAAAATTATAATGTATATAAATTATAAAATAAACAAATAGATATTTATTAATATATTTTTCATCGATATTTTTTAATTAAATTGATTTTGATAACTTTTAGATGTAAAGTTGTAAAGTACAACATTTTTTTTATTATTAAAAAAAAAAAGATATCTGTAGCATATTTAAAATATAATATATATATAAAATAATAATAAAAAAAGTAAAAAAAAAATTAAATTATATTATAATAATATTAAAATCGTTTTTATAATTTTATTTTAATACAATTTTTTAATTTATTTCTATAAAGTTTATTATGTATTATAATTAATCGATGATTCTGATTGACGATAGAAAACATACGTGTATTATACTATTCTTATTATATTCCCACAGAGAAAGAAACATTAATTTATATTTTTTCTTCAACTAACCATTTTATATATATGTATACTTATTTTATACATAATATATTTTATTATTTTATAGAAAATATGTCGATAAAATTTATAAAAATATGTCATATCTAAAATATTAAAACTTCTATTTGTACCGCGTTACGTTACGTTCGGAAAAACGTCTTTTTAAGTATTTCCGGTCATCAAAAAGTTACTATTATAAGATCTAATTCATTAAAGGCTAATTTTCAACAAATAATATTGCAGAAAATATAGGGAAATTTGAAGACACTAAAATGAAGAAATGTAACATCAAATAGTACAGTCATCTTCAAATTTATTGAAATTATTAAATTTTTGAATATAAAAGTTTTTAAAAGATATAAATTTAAATAATGCTAGTGACCGCGAAAATGTTGACGTTTATAAGATTTATATTACATTTTATAAATAAACAGTAACTAAAATAAAAATCAAATGAATAAATGCCAAATTATTATATGCTGGATTATTATAGAATCTGGAGATAATCAAATATTCATCAGACGATAATCAGACGTGTAGTGTGATATAAGACTTGCTTATTTTTGTGATAATAATTTGACAGTAATATGGCTGGCAATTTTTGGCAAAGTTCACATCAGTAAGATATTGAATATTCTAATAAATTTTTCTTTTTCATTCTTATTTTATAAAATAATAAATATCTCTTTTAGTCAACAATGGCTTCTTGATAAACAAGACTTAGTGCGAGAACGACAACATGATCTTTCAATTTTTACAGAAGAAGAATATCAAAAATTATTCATCTTTTTTTCCAATTGTAAGCTAAACGTTCGATTAGTCAATTAATCGAAAGTATTGTCAATGTGACTTAATATTGCGAAGATTAGGGAATTGTTATACCTCCAATGTAACTGTATTTGTATCACTTATGCAAGTTCATATATTTACATTCGTTTTCAAATGATTTAAATAAAAAATTTTCTAAATTTTTTCAGTAATACAAGTATTGGGTGAACAATTAAAACTCAGACAACAAGTTATAGCTACTGCAACTGTTTATTTTAAAAGATTTTATGCTCGTAATAGTTTAAAATGTATAGATCCATTATTATTAGCACCTACATCTGTTTTCTTAGCTTCAAAAGTAGAAGAATTTGGAGTTATTTCTCATAATAGATTAATTGCAGCATGTCAAACTGTAGGTATGTAATTATATATATTATTATAATAAATAAAATAAAATAGTCAAATAATAAAATGAAATAAGTTTATATTCAAAAAGAAAAATTAGAGTTAAAAAATTATTAAATATTAATTATTATTTCAGTAAAAAATAAATTCAATTATGCCTATTCACAAGAATTTCCTTATCGTGGAAGTCATATTTCTGAATGTGAATTTTATCTTTTGGAACATTTAGATTGTTGTTTAATAGTATATCAACCATATCGGCCTTTATTAATTCTTATTCAAGATATAGGTCCAGATGAACAATTACTTACATTGGCATGGCGTATAATTAATGATAGTTTACGTACAGATGTATGTTTATTATATCCACCACATCAAATAGCTATTGGTAAGAAAAAAATAAGAAGTATTTTAATAACATAATACATATATAAGTAAAATGTAATTAAAATTATTAAACATATAAAAATTTTTTTATAGGGTGTTTGCAAATAGCTTGTGTTATATTGCAAAAAGATTTAAAAGCATGGTTTGCTGAATTAAATGCTGATATGGAAAAAATTCAAGAAATCGCACGATATATCATTAATTTATATGAATTATGGAAAACATATGATGAAAAAAAAGAAATTCAAGGTTTATTATCTAAAATGCCAAAGCCTACACCATCACCACCACAGCACTGACAACAAGTTCTTTTATCATCTAATATTTGGGACTGACTAATAAAAGTAAACATTTTTACTTTTGTTAATTTAAATGACGAACTGGTTTAATTTATGAAATATTAATTTTTATATTTGTATTATATTTTTACCATAATTATTTTTTTAAACAAAATTATTCTAAATAAAAAATAAAATAAAAATAATGGAATATTTTGTATATTTTGTATAATTTAAAAAATTAATTTTATTAAATGAAAAATAAATTCTAAAATTACAAACATTATTGACAATCTGTAGTTATATAATAAAAATAAAAGTTTTTTTTCTAAAGTATCACAATATATATTTGTTTGCTTAATTTGCTTTTGAAATATTATTAGTTAATAATTAATGACTTTCTCATTAATTCAATCTGAAATTTTGATAAAGAAATTTATACAAATTAATAAAAATTATTCATATTTATTCATATTTATGTTAAATTATTATACTTACAGTTTGTTTTTAATTTGACATTCAAATTTATATTTTATATATTATTTTTTGATGTATAATATTTAATAAGTCATTTATCTTACAAGTATTAAAATTAGAAAAATACATTATAATTCAAGATAAAATTTTACTATAAATTTGTTATTTATGAATAAATGTAATTGCTTTCTAATGTTATTCTTACTATATTAACTGGAACCTTTAGAATATCGTTTCCAAAATTTTTTTACATCATCATGTCCTGCTTTTGTAACTACCATTGTCCGTTTTCTATAAAAACATTAAAAATTTCTATAAAAACATTATAAAATTTCATTTTATAAGTACTTGTTTATTTAATTCTAAGATAAATATAAAAATATTATTAAATATAGACCTTTCACTTTGCCAAATTAATACTCCAGTAGAAAGAGCATGATCTCTAAGTACTTCAAAATCAGTTTGAGAAAGAAATTGACTGTACAAGACTCCTTCACTAAATATAAATCTATTTCTTTCATTTTCCCACAATTTAATTTGATCTACTATAGTAGGAGGTAAAATTGGAGGACCTGCCTCTATCATTTTACTGTGAGCATGTTGCTGCAAATAACTGTTAATATAGCAAAATTCAAATTAAATGTTTTCTATAATATCTTAATATACTATATTTTATTATAATCTTAGCATATTTTAGTATATTTTATGTATATAAATATATAAATATAATTTTTTTATAATACCCAACAATTTGTGTAGCAGTAATTCCACTTTTTAAGGCTTGACGTACAGAATCTCTGGTTAGTATTGATACAACTAAGTTTGGAAATCTATAAACAAAATATTTTAATTATATTTTTATTAATTATAATTATTATATTTTATACAAAATATTATTCAATGTAAAATATTTAATTTTTTTAAATATACCTATATAACATTTCACAAAATAAACCAAGTAAAGCAACTTGTAAATTTGAATTTGTATAAGCATATACTCTATAATTTGTTTCAACAACAATATAACCTTCCTTCTCTGGATCTCTAGATAATGGTTTGTTTTGTCCAGTTGCAATATTTAGTGCTAATCTTGTAGGATAAAATCTAAGGATATTCACTATTTAATATGACTTTATTATTTATTTTAAATAAAAATTAACTTTAATAAAAATATATATTTTACCTTCCTGCTTTTCGTTTTCGTTGATAAACAAGACCAAATTCTCTTAAATGTTGCAAAAATGTTAATAAACCTTCAGACATTCCTTCAGTACTATAATCTTTACCAAGTGTTGAAAAATTTAATTGGAATAAAAAAGTAAGACATTCAACTAAGTCAAGTCCTCTTGCTTCTATTGTATCTAAATATTGTAAAATAAAATACCACACCTAAAACATATTTATAACAATAAATATATTATAAAACTTATATTTATGAAATTATATTTCTATTTTTAAATTTCAAATCATTCTATTAATTGCATTAAATTTAATAATTATCTTTAAATACCTGTGATGCAGTTTCCAATAATAAAAATTGAAAACCTGCTTGTGTAATAACTGGACTTCCATCAGCTTCATCTCGTTTCATTAATCCAGCATGTAAAAGAATTCTAACAGCATCAGCAGATATACCTAATATAATAGCAGAAACATAAAATAATATTATTTTATACTACATTTTAAAAAACTATATTTTTTCTTATGTTAAAAGATATGTGAATAGTTATATTGATTTCAATCAAATTACCTTCTTGTTGCTGTGAACCAACCATATAATGTAATACACATTCCCATCTTTCTAGTGCATATGAATCTAAAAATGCAACATCCCTAGGTTTACTATCAGTTTCTAATTGGTTTGACATTGTCCATGGTTTTCCACCACCCAAAAGAACAATTTTTAAATTTTTTTTAAATGTTGTATTTAAAATCCATCCAGGAAGTCCACCAGGTATTGATGCTTCATTCCATACATTTAATTCATTAAGTATTAGAACTACTTTTTGATGTTCTTCAAAATGAAGCTTGGAACACCAAGAAGCAATAACTGCTTGAGGAACAGGTTGTTCGACAAATAATAATCGCATAACATAATGTTTTGCTATTACTGGCAATTCACGAAAAACAGCCAAACAAATTGGAGGATTATGATATAATTTGTTTAATACTTCTGATGGACGTGATTTTAAATATTCTTGAAGATTTTTACATTGCAATCCAGTAGGTCGTAACAAATTTTTTCCACTTATTGTATTTGACATTATTTTTTATATTTAATAAGGAATTATATGTAACATCAAGTAATATTTAAAAATTTTTTCAACTTATTATAATTAATATAAAATGTTTTATTTTGTTTATATTAACCTTTATACAGAAAAAAGTATAAATTACTTTAACAAATCATATGAATAATATCATATTTTATATAAACATTACATTTCGAATAATTATAATTACAACTATATACAATAATTATAAAATTAACATCCACATTCTCCTTGTTTTCTCTTCAATTAAACGTAAGTAAGCGCGGCACTTAGCACAAGTATATTATATCATAATCTATACAAGATATAGAAGATATACAAGTACATTTTATTTTCCTTTAATTTTATTGGTTACAAAAATAAGTAATCGCATTCACAATTATATATATTATTCATTGAGATCAGTTATTAAATGTAAACAAAATCATATGATCAAAATTTAGGAAAATTAAATCAAAATCATATGATCAAAATTTCGAAATATGAAATATGAATTATTTTTTTGCATATTTTCAGAATTATTTACTATTCAAATATAAATATAAATAATATAATAATAAAATAAATTACTTCTGAAATAAAAATTTATAAATACAATTCATTTTTATAAAAAGATGGCGTTCATAAATATCGAGAAAATTTATATAATGATATAAATCGATTTTCACCGATATTTTGATAATTACTGAAATTATATTTATTATTTGATTTATTTATTTTGATTAATTCGAATAGATGAATGATCTGTATTAGACATAAATCGAAATATAATTTATATATTTAAAAATAATTTACATGGTATATTGTTTAAAATTTAAAAATCGAAACTAGTGTATTTTTCACTTTAATGTTGATAAAGAATTTTAAATAACATCTAACATACTTCATATGAATACAGCAAGCAGTGGATTGCGACTTAATTCTTACAGAATATAGAATGATTTTGTAATGTTGTAAATACAAAATGTATTCAATTTGTAAAAGTACTCATCCAGCTACAGGTGTAGAACATGCAATAACATGTTATTTCTTTAATCGTTCAGAAAAATGTCTTGTAGTAGCTGGTGCAAACATTATCAGAGTATTTCGTTTAATTCCAGACGTGGATATTACAAAAAAAGAAAAATATACAGGTATTTTCTATTAATAACATAAAAAAAGAACAAATGACAAAGTTAAAAATAAAATAATAAAATCAATATCTCGTTTTTTTTAGAATCACGTCCACCGAAAATGAAATTAGAATGTTTATCTCAATATACTTTACATGGAAATGTCATGTCAATGCAAGCTGTAACTCTTGTTGGATCACAAAGAGATTCTCTTTTATTAAGTTTTCGTGATGCAAAATTATCTGTTGTAGAATATGATCAAGATACACATGATCTTAGAACAGTATCTTTACATTATTTTGAAGAAGAAGAAATACGAGTAATTAATTTTAGAATATTAATAAAAATTTTAAATACATATCTTTTAAATTAACAAAAACAAAATAATAATAATAATAAAAATTAAAAATTAAAATATTATACAATTTTTATTTATTTTTAGGATGGATGGACAAATCATCATCATATTCCCATAGTTAGAGTAGATCCTGAAGGTAGATGTGCAGTGATGTTAATATATGGTAGAAAATTAGTTGTATTACCTTTTAAAAAGGATCCAAGTCTTGATGATGGAGATTTGTTAGATAATTCAAAAGCATCATCTAATAAAACTCCTATATTATCATCATATATGATTGTACTAAAATGTTTAGAAGAAAAAATGGATAATATAATAGATTTGCAATTTTTACATGGTTATTATGAACCAACATTATTAATATTATATGAACCAGTAAGAACATTTTCTGGGTAAGTTTTTAAATATATTTAATTAAATTTGATTTAATTTTTATTTAATATATAAAATAGTAAATATGACAAAATTTTAGCCGCATTGCAGTTAGACAAGATACTTGTGCTATGGTTGCAATATCATTAAATATTCAACAAAGAGTACATCCTATAATTTGGTCTGTATCAAATTTACCATTTGATTGTTATCAAGCAGTACCAGTCAAAAAACCACTTGGTGGCACCTTAATTATGGCAGTTAATTCTCTTATTTATTTAAATCAAAGTATACCACCATATGGAGTATCTCTAAATAGTTTAGCAGAAACAAGTACAAATTTTCCATTAAGTTTGTATTAAATATGATTGATTTAATGAATTTTTTAAATATTCATATATTCAATATATCTTAAAATTTTTAATAACTTTTTATAATTCTAGAACCACAAGAAGGGGTAAAAATAAGTTTGGAAGGTTCACAAGTTGCATTTATATCTTCAGATCGTTTAGTTATTTCATTAAAAAGTGGAGAATTGTATGTATTATCTTTATTCGCAGATAGTATGCGTTCAGTAAGAGGTTTTCATTTTGACAAAGCTGCAGCAAGTGTATTAACATCTTGTGTGAGTGTAATAATTTAATTTATTTATAAATGAAATATTTTTTATTATACAGAATAATAAAATTTGTAGGTATGCATGTGTGAAGATAATTATTTGTTTTTGGGATCACGACTTGGTAATTCCTTGTTATTAAGATTTACTGAAAAAGAACCAGAAAATTTGCAAAATACAAATGAGAATGAAATAGTACTTGAAGAAAATGAAACTGAAGAAACTCCAGCAAAAAAAATAAAACAAGATTTTATAGGAGATTGGATGGCATCTGATGTATTAGATATAAAAGATCCAGAAGAATTAGAAGTATATGGAAGTGAAACACATACTTCTATTCAGATTACATCATATATATTTGAGGTATATTTCTATTTTTTATAATAAATAATTTAGAAAAAAACAAAATATTTATTATAAGACTAATATATAAATTTTATAGGTATGTGATAGTTTATTAAATATTGGACCTTGTGGTAATATATCAATGGGTGAACCAGCTTTTTTATCAGAAGAATTTTCACATAATCAAGATCCTGATGTTGAACTTGTCACAACTTCTGGTTATGGTAAAAATGGAGCACTTTGTGTTCTTCAACATTCTATTCGACCACAAGTAAGTATAATAAATTTAAATCTAAGATATTATGAATAATATATTCTATATTATGAATTATAATATAAATATCATGTATCATATGTAAAAGATGCTAATGAACACTGCTGTGACTTTATCTATTTTAATTATAATTAATAATTATTAAATTAAATTATATTTGTTGAATATTTTATAAGATATAAATAAGTTATAAATATATAATTTTATATATAAGTAAAGATATTATTTAATTTCAAAATAGGTTGTGACTACATTTGAATTACCAGGATGTGAAGATATGTGGACTGTTATTGGTACATTAAATAATGACGAACAAATAAGACCTGAAGCAGAAGGAAGTCATGCTTTTTTAATTTTAAGTCAAGAAGATTCAACAATGGTATTATACTTTTATATAGTTATTATATTTTTATTTTTAATTGTATAGTATATATTATTTAATATTAAAATATATTTAGATATTACAAACTGGCCAGGAAATTAATGAAGTAGATCAAAGTGGATTCAGTACACAGGGAAGTACAATATTTGCTGGAAATCTTGGTGCAAATAGATACATAGTTCAAGTTACTCAAATGGGTGTTCGTCTTCTACAAGGAATTGAACAAGTAAATAAAATATTCTTGTGATAATATTCGAATAAAAATCTAAATATGAATATTTATATCATAAATAGATCCAACATATGCCAATTGATCTTGGATGTCCAATTGTCCATGCAAGTTGTGCAGATCCTTATGTGACATTACTTTCTGAAGATGGTCAAGTTATGTTATTAACTCTTAGAGAAGGACGTGGAACGGCAAGATTGCATGCTCAAACAGCTAACTTATTATTTGTAATTTTCTTATAATATATCTATAATATCTTATATATAATATTCTTATGTTTTCAATTATATTTTAATTTAATTAATTTTTTTACTTTAATTGAATTATAGCGACCTCAAATAGAAGCACTATGTGCTTATAGGGATGTTAGTGGAATATTTACAACACAATTACCTGAAAATGTAGAAGATGAAGTACCTGAAGAAGAACATAATATAGAAGAACCACCTATTGTTGGTAATATTGATAATGAAGATGACCTATTGTATGGTGATGCACCAGCTTTTCAAATGCCTACACCGTCACATACTAAATCATCTGAAGGAATATTTAAAAGAACACCTTGGTATATTTAATAATTTAATTAATCAATTTAATTGAATATTTAAAATATAACATTTGAATATTTTTGTTAGGTGGCAAAAACATTTACAAGAAATAAAACCAACATATTGGTTATTAGTATATAGAGATAGTGGAACTCTGGAAATTTATTCTCTTCCTGATTTACGCTTATCCTATCTTATTCGTAATTTTGGATATGGACAATATGTATTGCATGATAGCATGGAATCTACAACATTACAAACAACGCCTGTTAATGAAATTCCTAATCCTGAAATGCAGGTGTTGTAAATAAGTTAATTAAATTTAATATTTTTTTATTTTATATTTATTAAAAATATATTATTAGGTACGTGAAATTTTAATGGTAGCATTAGGTCATCATGGAAATAGACCAATGTTATTAGTACGACTTGATTCTGAACTTCAAATTTATCAAGCATATAGATATCCAAAAGGTCATTTAAAATTAAGATTTAAAAAGTTAGATCATGGTATAATACCAGGACACTTAAGGTATATATATATATTTTTAAATTAATAATTAACATATTTATTTTCATTTTTAATTATCAATTTATTTTCTAGACCAAGACCAAGGGATGAAGATATGCCTGCAATGAATGATACTCGACATTGCATGATGCGTTATTTTAGTAATATCGCTGGATACAATGGTGTATTTATTTGTAGTGATTATCCGCATTGGATATTTCTCACAGGACGTGGCGAATTACGTACACATCCAATGGGTATTGATGGCCCAGTTACCTCATTTGCACCTTTTAATAATATAAATTGTCCACAAGGTTTTCTATATTTTAATAGAAAGGTATCATTAATCATATCAATATTTTATTTTTATTAATATTTTTTATTATTATAATTATCGTTATGTTTATTTTTGTATATAAATTAAGTTAAAATATAATTATATTTTTTTATATTTCAATTTTAGGAAGAATTAAGAATATGTGTTTTGCCAACTCATTTATCATATGATGCTCCATGGCCTGTTAGAAAAGTACCATTACGATGTACACCACATTTTGTTACATATCATCTTGAAAGTAAAACTTATTGTGTCATAACAAGTATAGCTGAACCACTTAAAAGTTATTACAGATTTAATGGTGAAGATAAGGTACAAGTACAACTATAACAACTAAAGCTATTAGATAATATATAATATTTTTATTATATTTTAGGAGTTTACAGAAGAAGAACGACCTGATAGATTTATTTATCCTTCACAAGAACAATTTTCAATAGTACTATTTTCACCTGTTTCATGGGAAACAATTCCTAACACTAAAATTGAACTTGATCAATGGGAACATGTTACTTGTTTAAAAAATGTTTCTTTAGCTTATGAAGGTACACGATCTGGTTTAAAGGGTTATATAGTATTGGGAACAAATTATAATTATGGAGAAGATATTACAAGCAGAGGAAGGGTAAATTTTATTTTTGTATATTAACTGCAAATATATACATTTAAAAAAATTTAGAAGCCAATCTAAAATGTAAATTATATTTTCTAAAAATGATTTAATTGTTCAAAAATTTTTTTATTGCTTAAAACTTTCAGTTGATAAATCAATTAAATCATTATTAAATTAATGAAATAGTGAGTTAATTAATTTATTAAAAAAAATTATTTATTTAAATAATAAAGAGATTCTTGAACAATGTAAATGATTTTTAAAAAATGTGATTTATATTAATTGATTTCTAAACTTTCTATATTAAATTTAATTTTATTGAAAATTTATTTATAGATACTCATATTTGATATAATTGAAGTTGTACCTGAACCTGGTCAACCATTAACAAAAAATAGATTTAAACAAATTTATGCGAAAGAACAAAAAGGTCCCATAACTGCAATTACACAAGTATCTGGCTTTTTAGTCTCAGCAGTTGGTCAAAAAATTTATATTTGGCAATTGAAAGATAATGATCTTGTTGGAGTTGCTTTCATAGATACGCAAATTTATATCCATCAAATGTTAAGTATTAAAAGCTTAATTTTAATAGCTGATGTATATAAATCTATTAGTTTATTAAGATTTCAAGAGGAATATAGAACATTATCTCTTGTTAGTAGAGTAAGTAAAAATTTTTTTGTTATCTTTTATTTTTACAAAAATAATTTTAAAAAAATTTTTATAGGATTTTAGACCAGCTGAAGTTTATACTATTGAATATTTAATTGACAATACTAATTTAGGATTTCTTGTTGCTGATGGTGAAAGTAATATAGCTTTATTTATGTATCAACCAGAATCGCGAGAAAGTCTCGGAGGACAAAAATTAATTAGAAAAGCCGATTTTCATCTTGGCCAAAAAGTAAATACATTTTTCCGTATAAGATGTAGAATTTCGGATCCAGCGAATGATAAAAAGCATTTTTCTGATGCAGATAAAAGACATGTTACAATGTATGGTGAGTTCAATTTAAATATGATTATAAAATTCCTTATTTAAAATTATTAATATTTAAAATTATTTTTTATGATATTAGCATCACTTGATGGCAATCTTGGTTACATTTTACCTGTACCAGAAAAAACATACCGAAGATTACTTATGTTACAAAATGTCTTAGTAACACACATTTGTCATATTGCTGGTTTAAATCCTAAAGCATATCGGTAATTATATAAAGAAATTATTTGTAAAAATTCAAATAACAAATATTTAATGCAATAATTTTTTTTTTTTTTAGTACTTATAAAAGTCACATTCGAACTCAGGGTAATCCTGCAAGAGGTATAATTGATGGAGATTTAGTTTGGCGTTATCTGTATTTACCTAACAATGAAAAAATAGATGTAGCAAAAAAAATTGGTACACGTGTACAAGAAATAATAGAAGATTTGACGGAATAGATAGACAAACAGCTCATTTTTAAAAAAATATCTTTTTATTATTTCAAATCTACACTCCATTTTAAATATTCTTCTATCTAATGAAGTATTTAATCAAAGGAATATTTTTCTATTTAAAATAATAATAGTTATAATTGTATTTATATTTTTTATAAAACCTACATTTTTAGAAATTTAAGTTTATTGTAAACATAGCTGAAATTTTAAATATATATGTATATTATATTAAAATGAATTTTGTACAGATCAAGAATATAGTGATTTTTTAAATTGCTAAATTCACGAGTTATTTTTTGTCATAAAAATATATTAATTAGACAATAAATTTTTATAAACATTGAAATATATAATATTTTTTCATATTTCTATAAGTTATTACGATTTTGAATTAAACTTTACAATACGCAATTAAAAATGGATAAAATAGATAAATCGATAAGTCGATTATCTATTAAGCAAAGCATCGCTTTAAGACGATTAACGAAGACTGAAGTAATAGGTAATAAGTTATTTAAATATTAATATTATAAGTTATACATATGATAAATAACTTTAAATCAGAAATTTTGCTATAAGAACTTTTTCCAATTTAATCAATATATTTTCTATCAGTATATTGATTAAACAACTTTAAATAGCAAATACTACATGGCATGATACTACAACTGTTAATATAATATTATTTGATAATTTATATATCATTCAAGAAATAAATGGCACAGTGTAATATTATATTATTCAATTATTATTTAATTATATTATTAGTTAATTTATATTCTTTATTTTTATTATTTTTATGATTTTGTATTATATATTTTTTATATATATTTTTATTAGAAAACTTATTTTTTTACATACAGCACCAATAGTAGAATTAACAATATTGGAAAAAAGAATTTGTGAAGTGTTTGATATATTTGATACTACAAAGAGTGATGAAATAGATGTTAAAGATTTGGGAATTATTATCAGGACATTAGGATGTGTTGTCACAGAAGCAGAATTACAAGAAATACAAGTTCAAGTGGAAGATGTAGTAACTAATCGTATACCATTAAAAAAGTTTTTACAATACATGTCCAAAGCTATTGGTGAATATAAGTAAGTTTTTTAAATTTGAATTTTGTTAAAGTATATATATATATAAGTTATGATATTTACATTTTTGAGTATATTTATTTTGAATTGAATTTTTAATTTTTCATTTTAATATAGATATAAGCCAGCAGAACCAGAAGATTTATTAAAAGCATTCCATTTATTAGATCCTGAACATCGAGGTTACATTATGCGTGAAGACTTAGAAAAAGTAATGATGGAAATTGGAGAACCATTTTCAATAGAAGAAATAAATAACATGATGGCTATTGCATGTGATCCCAAAACAAAACAAATTAATTATGAACATTATATTAATTTATTACTTGTATGTATTGATATTTTATATATATATAATATATATAATAGATAATGTATTATATGTTATATGGTTTTTATGCAAATATATATTTTATATGCATATTTTATTATTATAAAATAATTATCACAATAATTTACATATAATTAAAATTAAATTGAAATCTATAGAATACTTTTATATATTGCTTATAGGTAAAAATACCTGAACCATTGAATGTATATTCTATTGTTGATGCAATGGAGGCTGCTAGATTAGAAGCTATGCCTAAAATACCTAGATTGGATAGTCTTTTATTTGCTTATCAATAGTTTTTAATATACAGTTTATCTGATGAAATCAATATATATTTCATTAATAATATAATGGATGCTGTTAAATTAGAAGCTATATCTAAAAAACATAGATTGGAGAATCTTTTATTGACTTAACAGTCATTTTTTTTATAATAATATACAATTTATTTAAAAAAATACCTGAATATAAAAATATAATCAACCAAAAATATGTTAGTATTAAAATAATTATAAAAGTAATTATAAAACATTTCT